CCCCCCCCCCCCGCCGTAGAGGCCCCCATCCTCGCTGTAGGGGGCCCCCTCCTCGCTGTAGGGGACCCCCTCCTCGCTGTAGGGGGCCCCCTCCTCGCTGTCAGGGGACCCTCTCGGGCTGTAGGAGCCCTCCTCATCGCTGTAGGGGGCCTCGTCCTCGCTGTCGGGGAACCCTACTGCGACGTCGGCGGCCCCTTCCTCGCCGTAGGGGGCCCCCTCCTCGCTGTAGGGGCCCTCGTCTCCGCTGTCAGAGGACATTAGGCCTCTGTAGGTGGCCTCCGCGTCGCTGTCGGTGGCTTCTTCGTCGCTGTATTGGCCCAATTCAATGCTGTAGGGGGACATCCCCTGGCTGTAGGGGTGCCCCTCCTCGCTGTACGGGAGGTCATCCAAGCTGTAGGGGCTCCCTCCGCTGCTGTAAGGGGAGCCTCTGTCGGCGTAGGTGTCCGCTTCCTCGCTGTAGGGGGCCCCACCCGGGCTGTGATGGGCCCCTTCCGAACTGTAGGGGGCCCCTTCCTCGCTGTACGGGACCCCTTCCTCGCTGTAGGAGGCCCCTCCAGGGCTGTAGCGGTCCCCTCCCGGGCTGTAGGGGGACCCTCCCGGGCTGTAAGGGGACCGTCCCGGGCTGTGGGAGGCACCTCCCGGGCTGTAGGGGGACCCTTCCGGGCTGTAGGGGGCCCCACCTGGGCTGTAGGGAGACCCTTCCGGGCTGTAGGGGGCCCCACCCGGGCTGTAGGGGGACCCTTCCGGGCTGTAGGGGGCCCCTCCCGGAATGTATTGGGGCCCTTCCTGGCTGTAGGGGGCCCCTCTGGGGCTGTAGGGGGCCCCTCCGGGGCTGTAGGGGGCCCCTCCCGGGCTGTAGTGGGCCCCTTCCTGGCTGTAGGGGGCGCCTCCCGGGCTGTAGGGGGACCCCGGGCTGTAGGGAGCCCCTCCCGGGCTGTATTGGGGCCCTTCCTGGCTGTAGGAGGCCCCACCCGGGCTGTAGGGGTCCTCTTCCTGGCTGTAGGGGTCCTCCTCCTGGCTGTAGGGGGCCCCTTCCTCGTTGCAAGGGGAACCTCTCCCGCTGTAGGGTGCCCCTTCCTCGTTGGAGGAACCTCTCTCGCTGTTGGGGTCCCCTTCCACGCTGTACGGGGAACCTATCCCGCTGTAGGGAGAACCTCTCTCGCTGGAGGGGGCCTCTTTCTCACTTTCGGGGGTCCTTTCCTCGCTTTCGGGGGTCCGTTTGTCGCTTTCGGGGGCCCCTCTCTCGCCTTCGGGGGCCCCTTTCTCACTTTCGGGGGCGTCTGTCTCGCTGTAGCGGTCCCCGTTCTCGTTGTCGGGGGATCCCTCTTTGCCGGGGGCCTCTTTCTCACTGTTGGGTGCCCCCTCCTCGCTCTGTGGGGCCCTCTTTTCGCCTTCTTTGCTGTAGGGTGTCTCTTCCTTGCTTTGCGGGGCCCCCCCTGTGCTGGGGGGGACCACCCCGTCGCTGTATTGGGCCCCTTTCTCGCTGGACGGGGCTTCTTCCTCACTGAAGGGGTCCCCTGTCTCGCTGGAGGGCACCCCTTCATCGCTGTAGGGCGCCCTTTTCTCGGCGTAGGGAGCCCCTTCCTCGCTATAGGGGGCCCCTGCCTCGCCGTAGGGGTCACCTTCCTCACCGTAGGGGAGCCCCCCTTCAGGCGAGTAGACTGTGTAATGCCCTGCCGGCGGATAGTAGGGGCCTGTCCCTCCATAGCCCTGTTCACTACCGTAGAAGCCCCCCGTTTTCTCCGGACCGGCTGCCCCCGCTGGAAAGGGGCTTGGCGCGCCATAATAGCCCTGAGGAAACTCAAAATAACCCTCTTGGGCCTGCAAGTAATCAGTGGTGTCGTCAGCGTAGGGCTGGGGGCCCTCCGCATAACCAGTGGCCTCCCCAGGGTAGGCCTCGGGGGGCCCCGGGAAGGCGGCCCCCGGCTCCGAGAAGTCGTGGGACCGCCCCTTGTGGGGCCAAGGCACCCCGAACGGCGGCTGCTGCTTCTGCGCTGCTGCTGGGTCTCCCGGGATGGAATGTGGGAGACCCCAGTAAGCTGTAGAGTCCCCGGGATAGGCAAAAGCAACCTCCCCATAGGGCCCAGCCACTTGCCCGTAGCCGTAGGCCGCTTTGCCGTAAATCCCTGTCTCCCCCAAATAGCCCTGTGGGTCTCCTGGGTAGACCCAGGGCCCCTCTGCGTAGGCCTCACCACCCTCCGGATATTCCTGGGGCCCCTTGCTGTAGGCCCCGGTCTCTTCCCCATAGGCCCCTGTGTCCCCATAGGCCCCCGGCTCCTCGTAGGCCCCTGGCTCCCCAAAGGCGCCTGGGTCTTCAGTATAGGGCCCTGGCTGCTGCTCAAAGGCCTCTGCTGTGGTCCCCCCATAGGCCCCTGGCCCACCGTAGGCCCCCGTCGTCTCTCCAGAGGGCCTTGGCTCCTTTCGGAAGGGGGCCCCCAGCTTGGGGTAAGTCTGTGTTGCTTCTGGGAAGGCCCCTGGGCCCCCGCCGTAGGCTGCTGCCTCCGGGGGAGGGCGGGAGAAGTCTCCCGTCCCCTTTGAGAAGTCGTCGGGCTTAGAAAGCTCTTCAGAATCTCCAGCTTTCCAGGAAGACTTCAAATAGGGGGGGGTGCTTGGAGGGTTTGCTGAGGACCAGCGGGGGTAATGGGGCCTCTCCTCCTGCAGCTCATGTGTCTCCTTTTGGCCTTCTGGGGGCCCTAAGATGAAGGGCCCTGTCTCCTTTGGGAAGGCCCCCGGGTCTTCTTGGAAGCCCCCTCTCGTGCCTTCTTGGAATTTCTGGGTCTCCCCTGGGCGCTGGAGGAGCCTACGGCTTTGTTGCTGCTGCTGCCGTTGCTGCTCTTCCCTCTGCCCTTCCCACTGCAGCATGTCCCCGAAGCGGGATTGCTGCGGGTCCGCCGCCCTAGTCGCAGCCGCTGCAGCCGCTGCAACCGCTGCAGCAGCAGCAGCAGCAGCAGCAATAGTGCACTGGGGAGCTCCGGGGATGCCCTGGAGCATTCGCCTAAAGCGGGGGGGTATTGTTGAGAGCGGAAGGCCCACTTCTCTGTCTCCTCGCCACCGCCCGTAGTCCCCTTGCTGCCCCCTCTCGAAGTTCTCCCCTAAGCTCCTCCTGCGCCAATCTGCACCCGAAATTGTCCCCGAAACGACTTGCCAAACTGCCTCTGTGACTGTCTCCGAAACGGACTCCTCGTCGGACTCAACCTCTCCTTGCGACCGCAGCCACGCGCGCCACTGCGCCTTTCGCCACGCTTCCCTCATGCTTTTGGCTTTTCGATCTCGCGGGGGGGCCCTCGCCTCCTTTTTTGGGGCCCCTAGCTTGATCAGAGGGGCCCCCAAAAGGGCCCCCACCATGGCCTTCGGCTCGGTCTCCCGACTTGTCTTTTTTTCAGAGTCCCCGTCTCCTCCGCCCTCTGAGACCTTGCTCTTTTCATTATCTCCGTCTCTGTCTCTGTCTATATCTGCCTTTCTGTCTGTGTCTTTATCTACGCCTTTATTTTCACCTCTGTCTCTGTCTTTGTTTCTGCCTCTGTCCTTCTCAGTGTCAGTATCTCCGTAACTGTCTCTGCCTCTCTTTCTACTTCTTTCGCTGTCTCTGTCTCTGTCTCTGTCTCTTTCTTTTCCTTTTTCTCTCTGTTTTCTTCTGTGTGTGTCTTTATCTCCTACTCTATTCCTACTCCTACCTCCTTCACTTTCTCTTTCTCCTGCTCTTTCTTTTTCTTTTCCCTGTCTTTCTCTTGCTTTTTCTTTTTCCTGCTTTTCTGTTTCTCTTGCTTTTTCCTGTCTTTCTTTTTCTCTTTTTCTTTCTTTTTCCTGTCTTTCTCTTTCTCTTTTTCTTTCTTTTTCCTGTCTTTCTCTTTCTCTCTCTTTTTCTCCTTCTTTTTCCTGCTTTTCTCTTTCTCTTGTTTTTTCTTTTTCTTTTTCCTGTTTTTCTCTTTCTCCTGTTTTTTCTTTTTCCTTTTCCTGTTTTTCTCTTTCTGTTGCTTTTTCTTTTTCTTTTTCCTGTCTTTCTGTTTCTCGTGCTCTTTCTTTTTCTCTTTCTTTTTCTGTTTCTTCTTCCTTTTCTTCTTCTCTTTCTGTTGCTTTTTCCTTTGCTTTTTCCTTTTCTGTTTCTTTTTCCCTTTCTCTTGTTTTTTCCTTCTCTCTTTCTCTGGCTCTTTCTTTTTCTCTTGCTCTTTCTTTTTCTCTTTCTTTTTCTCTTTCTTTTTCTCCTTCTCTTGCCCTCTCTCTTTCTTTTCGTCTTTCCTTCTCTCTCTCTCTCTGCTTCTCCCTTACGCTTTGCCTCCCCCTTTCCTTCTCCCCTTCCTTGTCTTTTTCTTTTTCGCTTTCTCTTTCTTTTTCCTCCTCTCGCTCTCTGTCGCTTTCTCTTTCTTTTTCCTCCTCTCGTTCTCCTTCGCCTTCTCCTTCATTTCCCTCTTCTCGTTCTTTTTCGCTTTCTCTTTCTTTTCCCTTCTCTCGTTCTTCTTCGCTTTCTCTTTCTTTTTCCTTCTCCCGTTCTTCTTCCTTCTCTCTTTCCCTCCCTTCTTCTTCTTCCTTTTCTCCTTCTTTTTCTTTTTCTCCTTCTTTTTCCTTCCCTCTTTCCTTTTCCTTCTCTCTTTCTGTTTCCGCTTCTCTTTCTTTTTCCTTCTCTCTTTCTGTTTCCGCTTCTCTTTCTTTTTCCTTATCTCTTTCTTGTTCCTTCTCTCTCTCTTTCTCCTTCTCTCTCTCTTTCTCCTTCTCTCTCTCTTTTTCCTTCTCTCTTTCTTTTTCGCTTTCTCGTTCCTTCTCCTTTTCCTTTTCGCGTTCCCCTCCTCTTTCTCGTTCGTCTTCTCCTCCTTCTCTTTCCTTCTCTCTCTGCTTCTCTCCTTCTTCTCTTTCCTTCTCTCTTTCCCGCTCTACTTCTGTTTCTGCTTCTCCTTCCCTTCCTGCACCTTCTTCTCTATCTTTATCCCCAGCTTCCTCGCTCTCTCCTTCCCTCTCTCCTTTGTCTTCAGCTTCACTTTTTTCCGCTTTTGCATCTTCATCTCCAACTCCGTCTCCATCTCTGTCTCCCTCTGACTTTTCTCCAGGTCTTTTTTGAGGGTCCTTTCCCGGGCTATCCTCTTGGGGGTCCCCAGCGGGTGCGCCGGAGGCCCCGTCTTGGCTCTTCATTTGTCTCCAGTCGCTGGTTGCAGTTTCGAGGGCACTTTGGAGTTGTTCTAATTCTGTGAAATAGGGATTGTTGTGGTCTGGGGTCTCCGAAGGACCGAAGAAAATACCCGGAGAAAGCCTACTTTCAACAGTTTTGAGCCAAAGACTGTCGAGGCGGTGGCCCAGCTGCTGCTTTCGCCGCGTCTCCACCACCTGATGCATCGCCCGCTTTTCGTACGGCAGCAGCGGCTCGCGGGGGCCCCTGTTGGGGATCGTATCCACTCTTTCGGAGATGCCGTCCACCACGCTGGCGAAGTAGGTGGCAGCAACTTCCGAAGCCTGCAGCAGCTGCAGCTCCAGAGGGCTCCGCAGCGAAGTAGGGAGCCAGGGGGCCGGAGGGAATTTCCCAGTTGCCCTCATAAGCCGGGCCAAACTTCGAACTGTTTCTCTGCTGCTGAAGTGCTGCTGCTGCAGGTCTGGCCGCCGCACGGCGGCGCTCGCCAGCTGGTCAAAAGCTACCAGAAGGAAGGCCGAGCGCTGCTGCTCGTAGTGGCCCTGCAGCAGACTCCCCAGAGCAGCAGTTTCCTGCAGCACGAAGCGACACACGTACTCCAGCACCGCCATACATCCCGCCGCGTCCAGCCGGCCCAGCAGCACAGTCACTCTCTCCCACACGCGTCGCAACAGGCCCGTCAAGCTCTGCGGGTCGCATGCTGGCCACTCCGCGGTGCTCCCACCCCTGAATTGGGCAAGCCCAGGGGCCACCGGGGGCCCAGGTAGGGGCACCGGGGGCCCCGGAGGCGCAGCTATGGGCCCCGGGGGCACACCTATGGGCCCCGGGGGCCCACCTATGGGTCCCGGGGGCCCACCTATGCGCCCCGGGGGCTCACCTATGGGCCCCGGGGGCTCACCTATGGGCCCCGGGGGCCCACCTATGGGCCCCGGGGGCTCACCTATGGGCCCCGGGGGCCCACCTATGGGCCCCTGGGGCCCACCTATAGGCCCCGGGGGCCCACCTATGGGCCCCGGGGGCCCACCTATTGGCCCCGGAGGACCGCCTACGGACCCCGGCCACGGAGCACCAGGGGGACCAGTTAACCCTAGTGGCCCAGGAGGGCCAGGGGGACCAGGGAGCCCAGGGGGCCCAGCGGGCCCTGGGGGCCCGGGGGGCCCAGGAGTCCCTGGGGTCCTCTGGTGCCAAGGTTGTCCGGGGCCTCCGGACCACCAGGATGCCCCCGGGGGGGGGCCGTTCAAGGAAGAGCCAGCGGGGTCAAAC